TACTTAAACTGTACGAGTTAAGTTGATCGAGTAATTTTTTAAGCACGTGTAGTGGAAGCGAAAAAGAAAAAGAAAAAGATGATAGATCATATAAAGCTGGTTTTGAAATATCTGTATGCATATTTTGTGTTACAGTTTATGTCGGGGGAATTGTACTAAGCATTTATTATTCCTTTCCCCTATCCTCTCATTAATTTCCCAAATTATTATTATATTCAAAATTAATTAATTATAAAAACATGAGTTCACTTCAGGATATAAAAACTTGGATTTTCACCCACATTCATCAACAATTCTCTCTCTCTCTCTCTACTCCGATCAACCTCCATGGAACACGGCGGCAGCGGCGGCGGACACCAGAACTCCGACGGGTTCCTCCCACCGGGTTTCCGGTTCCACCCGACCGACGAAGAGCTGATCGCCCATTACCTTCTGAAGAAGGTTCTGGACTCCCATTTCTCCTCGCCCGCCATTGCCCATGTCGACCTCAACAAGTCCGAGCCCTGGGACCTCCCTGGTCAGCTCTCTCCACCCCTTTCTATATACATATTTGTTAGATGAACACGACCCTCCATATACTTGCATAAATTTTCTTCGGCTTTTCCAAAAAAATTTGTAAATTCACGGCAAAAAGTTATATATATATATATATATATTTCTTTTTTTATTTATTGAAAAATAATAATAATAATGTGTGGATTGAACAGAGAAAGCGCTGATGGGTGAAAAGGAGTGGTATTTCTTCAGCCTGCGAGACCGGAAATACCCGACCGGGTTGAGGACGAACCGGGCGACGGAGGCCGGGTACTGGAAGGCGACCGGAAAGGACCGGGAAATAATGAGCTCGAAAACCAACTCATTAATTGGGATGAAGAAGACGCTTGTTTTCTACAGAGGCAGAGCACCAAAAGGCCAAAAGACCAACTGGGTTATGCATGAATTTCGCCTCGCCGGAAAATTTGCTTACCATTTTCTCTCCGCCGATTCTTCCAAGGTTCTCTCTCTCTCCCTCTCTCTCTCAGTTGAAGAAGTCGCCGTCGACGTTGATAGCTTAATTAATTCATTATCTTTTAAATAAATGAACTCATATCAAACGTCAACACCCCCATCTCCATGTGTGTATATATATATATATATATATATATATATATATTTTAATTTCATGCTTGCATTAATGAACCAATTTTTTTTTCTTTTAATGATTAAAGAAAATCATGTATTTTAAGGTGTTATTTCAATTTCTATTTAGCAAAAAAAAACTAATAATAATAATAATAAATATATATTTTTGTGAAAATTAGAATAGGATTTCAGAAATTCTTTTTTAAAGATTAATTTTAATATGATATCTATTAAAATATATAAAAAAAATCATAATAAATTAAATAATATTTCATAAACTAAATCTATACTATATTTTTAAGCGCAATTTATTTAATATATAATATATTATTTTAAATTAAAGGCATGTGTTATCTTTATTTAAATAACTTCAAGATAATAATCAAATTTACAATATAGTTAAAATAATTGATGATATATATGCAGACAAAGACCCTTCGATTGAATTTAAAAAGAAAAAAATACCAGTAAATAATTTTCTAGCATTTATTTTTGGTACAAATAATATTCAATAGTAGGTAAAGCAATAATAAAATATTTATATTTAATATTATTTTTTAAAAATGAATATCTAAATATTTTATTATATATAGTACACATTATTTGGATGGAGGGCCAATTTCAATGAAGAGGTTTTAATGTTGGGAATAATAATTATAATGTCATAAATAAAATTTATGTTTCATGTCCCTTTCTATTTATTTTCCTCATATGTGTGGTGGGTTTTTATTCATTTATTTATTTTTATTTTATTTTATTTTATTTTATTTATTTATTTATTTATTTATTACATGCATGTAACAGGATGAATGGGTGATATCCAAAGTTTTCAAGAAAACCGGCGCCGCCATGCACGGCGGCTCATCGACGAAGAAGATTCGCCTGGATCCCGAACCGAGTTCCCCTTCCTCGGTGTCTCTGCCTCCTCGACTCGATTCCTCCGCCGACCCGAGTGAGAATGAGCTGCACGTGACCTGTTTCTCCACCAATAATGTCAACTACCCCGCCGGCGGAGGCTCTGATCTCTCCCCCTCGGTCTTCCCGAACCTTCTGAGCTTCCAGGAGAATCTGCAGGCGCCGTTCTTCTCCCCCGTGGGTCCGCCGCTGGTTCATCTACTCACCGACGCTGCTGAGTTGGTTGGGTGTGGCGATGGTCCGGCACCGGAGGATTCGAGGCTTGTCGGCTCCGCTGACATGGCTGCTTATATGTGGACCTTCTGAAAATTCCCTTTTTATCTGTAATATCTGAAAAAGAATTAAGAACTTGACAAATGAAAACAGACTCCTTTTTTGTATTATTATTATTTTAGTATAACTTCGAAATGCCCAATTAAATGGTGCCACGTGTCGTTTAGTAAAGTTTCTATTTTTTTCAGTTTTTATTCTTTTATTTTGTTTTTTACTTTTATATAAAATTTGTTTAAATAAACACTTTAAAAAAATACCAATAAATTTTAAATTTTTTTATTAATACCCTTCCATTTAAAAAAAAAAATTAAAAAATAGTTAGTAATTATTTAAAAAATATCAGCATTAGTTCGGAGGAGAACATACCACTCTTTATAAGGGTGTGGAAACCTCTCATACCAGACGCGTTTTAAAGCCTTGAGGGGAAGTCCGAAAGGTAAAACCCAAAAATGACAATATCTGCTAGCGGTAGATCTTGGGCGTTTCAAATGGTGCCAGACACCGGACGATGTGTCAACCTTCTCGCTGTTCCCAAAATGGGGTAGACACGAGGCGGTGTGCCAGTAAGGACGCTGGACCCCGAAGGAGGGTGAATTGTGATGTCCTACATTAGTTGGGGAGGAGAACAAACCACCATTATAAGGGCATGAAAACCTTCACCTAGTAGAAACATTTTAAAGCCTTGAGGGGAAGCGCAAGACAATATCTGTTAGTAGTAGATCTAGGCTGTTACATTAACACTTTATAATTTTTTTTAAAACAATGAATATATGAATGAAAATAATCTATCGACACTTCATGAAATATCTCTATAAACATTTTAAAATATGTATTTTGGACCCTTTTGAAAATTAAAAAGTAATTTTAAAACTATTTTAAAAATTCAATAATATTTTTTAAACAAATTATTAATGTTTCGATCCAAAACTGAAAATAAAAGTATCTTTAATTTAAATAGATTCCATAATTATTTTATTAAATCATGGTTATTATTTTAAATAGATTAATTAAGCATTTTATAATAGAATTTTGAATGTATTAATTTTGGAATAATAAATACCGAAAGAGAAAGAAGAATTGATTTCCATGGAAGATGGCGGCAACAATTCGAAGGCTTTGTTTGGGCTCAGCGCTTTTTTGTGGAGAAAGGAACCGATTTCTCTGTGATTCTGCGTCTTCAACTCCTCCAAGCTTCGTCTCTTTCAAGTGTCTCTCCTTCTCGGCTGCTCTCTCGTTGCTCGTCGTTCCCAATGTCAAAGGTAATTGCGAACATTTCATCCTAAATAATCATCGCGAATCCATTCTCTTATCGTCACTTCGTATGAAGAATTTGAAAATCACGATCAAAAGACCAGAAAGAATGGGAACAAAGTATCATAATCGAGAATTTCTGATCGGAGAATTTTGTTCGGTGGGGTTTATTTATAGTTTTTTCTTACAAGACAAGCAGAGGGCGGGGAAATTTAACATTTGGGGGATCTGTTGAAATTTTCAGAATCGTTGTCACAGAGCGCTCGGGAGAGATCAATTCGTCATGGATCCGTAATTTGCATGGCCAGAAGATATGCTCCTAACACTACGAAGAGAAAGGTATGGTCCTTTTAGCTTCGACAGCGTGTGGATCATGGTAGAAATTTGCAAATCGAGAGGACGGGGACTCATATCATGTGTTTATGTATTTGTTTATGTTAGGGCTCTAACTATATTTCTTCTCGTGATCAATCGATAGAAAATAAATACACTTATAAGTACATGTTCTCCTTATCAATTTCGATTAATTTCAATATGAACAAAAGTGGAATATATGAAATCATCTTCAAATAGAATTGACCCCTTTCATGTTAATTTGTATGACACCCTTCAAAATTCCAGCCTTCTGATTGCTATCACTTCCAATAGCACAAGCCTATCGCGATATTGTCTTCTTTGGGCTTTCCCTTCAAAATTTTCAAAATGCATCTGCTAGGGAATTTTCAAAATGCATCTGCTAGGGAGAAGTCGTGAGATCTCACATTATTGAACATATATTTATCTAATTTGAGTTTGTATCTACAGAAAATTTGATTAACATTCCAAGTATGGATTATTCTACTTCAATGATGCAAAAGTCATTGGGAATAATATTGTGTAATTTGTTCATTATGTTAATGTCACTGTTGATTTGATCATGAAATAACTTGTCGATTGCATTCAAATGCAGAGGTTGAGTAGGAAGAGGGGTGGTGATCCAGAAAAGAAAAGGAAGACGAGGAGGAAAGGGGGAAGGAAAGATTTCAAAATAATCCGACTCTCCTCAACCGCTGGGACTGGTTTTTTCTATGCCAAGAAAAAAAGCAGGAAGATGGCTGATAAGATTGAGCTCCAGAAATTTGACCCTCTTGCAAAACGACATGTTCTGTTCACTGAAGCCAAGTAAGTCAGATTGTCCCCCGTGATTGTATATATATATATATATATATATATATATGGATAGATACATACATAGATAGGGTAGATCGGTCAAGCATTGCTTGTAGGAATCTTTTGTGCTAGTTGTGTGTGAACAGTTGACTATTGAACTTAGTCTGAAAGATCCATTGCTGTCTGAAGGAAATCTTTGATTTCAAGAACTAGAGGAAATCCAATTCTAAAATTGACCTGCATAGTAAAAGCTTTAATAATCATGGGCATAAGCACCAAGTTATGTACACTTTCCATCCTTCCTACCTTTACTCACAGCCTGGTAAGATTGATTTAAATAGTTTTGCTTTACAATATCCAGTTTGATATACGAGGGATGAAATACAAACCAAACGTTGAGAATGGAAAAACCTACAATGTAACACCATCTAGCCATGAAGAAACTTCTTCAATCGAAGGTCTCTTCCTTGGATCTTGGTCTATGCATTTACAAGTAATACTAAGGACCTCTAAAATCTGCTTTTTGCTATTTGTATCCCAAATTGCAGGATCAATAATCTCCTCTTCTTTCTTTTCTGATTTCTTCTGAATCACCCATGATACCAGATCCCTGCAAGCTTTACCTTTGCATACCTCTACAGGCCTCCGCCCAGTTAGAAGCTCGAGAAGAACAACGCCAAAACTGTATACATCGCCCCTGCAAGTTGCAATTAATGTCTGGCTGTATTCGGGAGGGATATAACCCAATGTCCCAACCAAGTCCGTGGTAACATGAGTGTCATACGGCCGGAGTAATCTTGAAAGGCCAAAATCAGCTAAATGTGCCTCGAATTTGTCATCCAGAAGTATGTTGCTCGACTTGACATCGCGGTGAATTATGTTTGGCTGACATTCCTTATGCAAGTAAGCCAATCCATGAGCTGCACCCTGTGCGATTTTGAGTCTTGCTTCCCATTTTAGTATTGAATCTTCATCATCAACAATCTCATGAAGCCAATAGTCCAAACTTCCATTCTCCATGTAGGAGTAAATTAATAGCCTGTCGTTTCCATGTTTGCAGTAACCTTGAAGAGAAACAAGGTTCTTATGCTGCGCTCGAGAAAGAGCTTCTACTTCAGCTTGGAATTCGCGTTCCATCTGACCACAATCTCCTGTAAGCCTCTTGACTGCAGCTTTTGAACCATTGGGAAGGCTGGCTTTGTAAACCAGGCCAAATCCACCACAGCCGATTATGTTTGCTTGGTTGAAATTGCAAGTAGCTTTTAACAACTCTGCAACTGTAAGATCCTTGCATTCTGAATTCTGAAAGAGCACCAACTTTGATGATCCAAGAGCTCCAGATAACCTGTTAGGCCGGTCAAATTCCTCGTCAAAACTGTTATTCCGATCTCCAACATCTTTCCTGGACATTTTGAGTAGAACCACTGTAAGGACCAGGAGGATTGCTGCAGCCGCTCCGACTGTAAGGCAGAGAATGACACTTCTCCCAACTTTTCTCTTTGAGTAAGTGTCGGTTTCAGGTCTTTTTTCTAACCCATCAACAGAACGACAAGGGTTGTCGATTTCCCCACAAAGTCCTGCATTACCATCAAAGCTTGAGCTGGGAAAACTTAAGAATTGCCCTCCATTTGGAATTGGTCCCTCCAAGTGATTATTTGCCACGCTGAACTTTGACAAGAATGTAAGCTTGTTAAGTGATGGAGGAATTCGTCCATAAAGATCATTATTCGACAAATCTAAGGCTTCCAAGTTCTCCATCTCTGATATGGTGTTTGGGATGGACCCAGTTATATTGTTCCTACTCAAATCCAAGGCATGCAGCCCTTTTAATCCACCAATTTCTGGCCAAATAGTTCCATTAATTCTGTTGTAGCTCAAGTAAATCGATGGTGGAAAGCTCGACGCTTGGTTGTATTGCAAACCAGTGGAACTTTGATTTCGTTTGACAAAAAGGGGGATTCCAGCAGATGATGTCGAACCCGACAAGCTGCAGTTTCTGGAAATTAGTGCTTTCATCTGTGTCAAGCTTTTTGGGATTTCTCCTGTCAGAGAATTGTTGGATAAGTCCAAATAAAATAAATTCTCCAGCTGACCAATCCAAGCAGGGATACTTCCATCTAAGTGATTCCAAGACAAATCAAGGATGCTCAATTTCTTGCAACCTACTAACCAACCTGGAATTTGTCCTCTCAGGCCACAGTTACCAAATGCCAAAAGCATCAAGTTGTCGAAAACAGTTTCACTCTGTGGAATTTTCTCATTACGAAAGTTCTTTGTAAGAATAAGAACAGTCAGGTTCTTGCAATTATGTAGAATAGATAATGCACCACTCAAGTCTATAATACTGTTGTTCGACAAAGATAGAAAGGACAGAGAGGAAAGCTTAGCATAATCTCGAGGAATTTGACCAGTTAACTTGTTCTTGGCAAGGCTAAGAGTTTTCAATTCATGGCAATCAGATAGAGAATTCGGTAGAGGCCCCGAAAAGTGATTAGAGGCTAGATCAAGCATTTGAAGATCTGGTAGCCTAGAAAAATTGAGATCTATAGCAGCAGTAAAGGAATTATTTCTAAGATCAAGAACTCTAAGCTTTGAGCACAATGACAGAGATGAAGGCAAAATTCCAGAGAACAAGTTGGAATGTGCAACTAACTCCCGTAATTCTGAAAAATTACCGAACACATTTGGAAGTTCCCCAGAAAACTTGTTTCCGAATACGATAAAGGATTCAAGCCTAGAAAGCTTACTCAGATCCATGCTTAACTGGCCAAAGAAGCTGTTTCCAGGGATTGAAAAGTACTCCAAAAATGATAACGAATACAATGATTCTGGAAGATGTCCAGTAAGCAAGTTATTATCTGCACGGAAATGTTTGAGAGATTTGCTGCAATCGTTCACTCCTTGAAGATTGCCGGATATTTGGTTCAGTGAAATATCAACAACCTGAATCATGTTGGAGGAATTGCAAATCTGTGAAGAAAACTGTCCTGTGAAAGAATTGTTACTTATATTGAAGGCAACAAGATTCTGAAATCCCACTAGCTGGGGGAAATCCCCAATGAATGAATTACTGGAAATATTAAGAACACGAACAGATATCAATCCTGAAGTTGCATTGGTGACTGATCCTGACAGCTTATTGTAACTCAAATCCAATACCTGGAGTTGCTTCAAGCTTGAGAATTCTGTTGGCAAAACACCTTCAAGCTGATTGTATGATAGATTCAGCCAAATTAACTGATCTAAACCACCAAGAGACTGTGAAATCTTGCCTTTCAGATTCATATTAGGCAGTTCTAACCTGGTAACTCTGTTAGTGATAGAGCTGTTGCTATCATATCCACAAACGACACCATCCCAAATGCAGCAGTTGGGTTCCTTCAACCATACAGAGATAACAGAACTATTTGAAAGGCTATTCAGAAAGCCCCTCAATGCCAGTAAATCTTTTGGATCACAGAGTTTATTCGACTGTTTCAGACCCAAAGAGAAGGAAAACAAGCAACTCAATAATAACATCCATTTGAGGAAAGCCGGTTTGACAAGAGAAAGCACCATATCTGGTCATACACTTAGCTGTTAAGAAATGAGAGGAATCCAAATAAAGAAAAATCTTGCAAACTATAATATGTGGAAGAGAAGGAGGAGCATCCCAAGTTGAGCAACTTGCAAAAGAAGCAAAATAAAGATGAAATCACCAATCCCAATCAGATTCCAAACCCTTTCCCGATAAACAGAACAGATGAACCCAGAATTGAACGTCAAAATGAACACCAGAAAGCCATAACTCAACAGAACAAAAGAAACTTGGAGAAACCCATATGCCAAAACGATATCAGATCCCAAAGAGACAAGAAGAAGAAGAGTAAGAGAAGCTTGAAAAGGAAGAGAGGAGGAGAAACAAATAAAGAAATGATTTTCGCAGGGCCAGTGGAGATCATGACTTGCAAATGAAGTACGTAAAGTAAGTAAAGAGACAGCAGCGTCAGAAACGCCTCATTTTCTGGGTGAACTGTTGCGAGAAATCTGAGGTTAGAGTTCCGAGAAGCAATGTCAAATCTGGGTTTGGAAAAAAGATATCAAAAAGTGAAAAGGAGGAGCCGAGGAGGGGGAGAGCAGGGGCGGAGAACCACTGTACTTTACAGTATATATATATATAATTGGAGTGAGAGAGAGAGCTGACTTGAGGAGGGGAAAAAATGGTGGCTTTTTGGAGGTGAAACTTGAGGAGGGTTTACAGGTCTGAAAACTTGTCTCTTTTTTCACTCTTTTGTTTGTGATTGTCAGCACCTACGACGTTGATCTGTTCCTTTTTAATTTTTTTTCCTCTGTCTGTAGAAGAAATTGCAGAGAAAAAGAGAGAAAAGAAGGAAAGTAAATGAGAGTGGAGTTGGAAAAGTTGTGTGGTGCGCAGCGCAAGGACCGATGTGAGTTTATCTCTACTCTTCACGCCTACTCCATCTTTCATGCACGTGTCTCACCAATTATTTCCTTTTCTCTTCAATAAAAAATATATATTATTTTTTTTAAATATTCTTATTTGGACTTTCCTAATTAAGATAAATGGTGAAAATTTTATGGTTAAAGTTTGTATCGATTTTTTCAAGGGTCGTCAATTATATCTTTTTTCTTTAAATAAAATTATATTTTATATATATAATATATTTTTTAAGTATTGTACAATAGGGTATACTAGTATCATTCTAAATAAAAATACTTTAATATAAAAAAAGTATATTATTTTTAAGTAGTGTAATAATATATAAAAGTAAATTACATTATCTCAATTGGTACGAGTCCTTTTATAGGTATTGTAATAGGGTCCAAGTAAATTACCCTTATGATTAAAGTAGATAGTATTGTAATAGGGCATATAAGTAAATTACTCATAAGTAGACAATATTATTCTATTATATATGTTTTTTCATGTACGCGTGGTCAATTATATCTTTTTTTCTCTAAATAAAACTATTTTTATATATATAAATAAATAAATAAATAAATAATATATATATATATATATAAGTATTGTAATAGTATATATGAATAAATTACGTTATCTCAATTGGTACGATATCTTTTATAAACCAAAAGTGAAATTATAAAGTTCGTGTCTCGTCAGTTATTTTTTTTTTCTTTAAAGAAAAATATTTGTGGTGTTATAATCTTAGGCTGCAATTTCATCTTTTAATAAATTTTTATTTGGAAATTTACTTATCCATAATAAATAAATATGTAATATTAAAGGTAAATCTTCATTAGAGTTAAATTTGTGCTAAATTTAATGTTACCGAAATTAGTGAATTTATAGGCATTTTGTCAATATTTTTTCATTAGAAAAAATTGAAGTATTGATTTGTTGAATATTGTATTTAATATAAGTAAGTGTAAAAGGTGAAATTTCAACCATGGAATAGGAAATAATTTGTTTGTTAGTTAATTAATGATAAACATTGCGTCCTTGGTGACATTAATAATAAAAAAATTCAAATAATAGAGGCATCATAAAGATTTCTCGACAAACTTAAATAATTATTTATACTTATAAAATAAACAAATAAATAAAGTAATTTGTTGAGTGATTTGACGTGATGTGCACGCGATTGGATGTCGCGTGTGGCGGGATGTTCGAAGGGGGTATAAAAGTCAGAGTTCTTAGCGGTGGAGGGTCACCGTTAATAGCCGGTGACCGAAACTGCTTTAGGCAGGTATCACGGGCTATCGGCCGTCGTCCATTAAAAAGTTTTAGGTGAACTGCCACGCACTTCTTCGCCCACCCATTTCTCCTTTTTTTTTTGTTTTTTTTTTTTTTTTATTTCCTAAATTATAAAACTCGACTTTCTCTCTCTTCATGTGACCTCACCGAAACCACCTCTCTCTCTCTCTCATCATTATTTTTAATTTCTATTTTATTTTATTTCCACATTAAATTAATATTTTATCAACTTTGCCAAAAAGTTATTTGGATTAAATAAATTATAGTTTTCTTTAAGACAAAAATTCATTTTTTTATTTATTTAACCATAAAATAAATAATGGGTTATATAAATTAATAATTTAAGATTAAAATTATTATTTTAACCTTAAATTTCATTACCCTTAACTCATATTATTAATAAAAACGAACGTGAATTAGACGGGTTTGTTGCTACAATAAATTTCCCGAAACGTCATTTTATTTTAATATAGAAAATAGGTAGTGCTAATATTAACATAGCTTTTACCGTGCCACTAAAAATAACTTGTCATATTTTCAATACGTATATGGTAAAAATTTAAATATACACCAAAGACCATTCGAGCATTAACCGATATCAATCTATTTAATTTGTTTCAATTTGGTAAATTAACGTTACTTCTTCTATATTTCAATCAATATTATCTCGTAGACAGTTTTTAAGAGAGTCGTGTTCATCATGTAATTCTGGAGAGTCGATTTTGGAGGAAGGGCAATTATGGGCATGAGGCATGGGAGAAAGAAATTGATGAAAGTTAGGCACTTATGGTATGTGCCACCCCCACTTTCCACTTGACTCTTCTTTATTTACTTCTCTACCAACTATTCATTTCTTATCATTGTTCATCATTCAACCTTTTGACATAAATGCCCTACCCCTCATTGTCCTTTCATTTTACATTTTAATTTTAACCCAAAAAACCCTATAATGGGTTTCTCCTAAAATTTTAATTTTATTAAATAGGTCACTAAATTAAAATACGATACTCGAGAAAAAGATGTCGCCCAATTTTGCTTCAATTGTCAAATCAGCTCGTCTACGGGAAAGAGTCCCTTTGAAATTGTAAGTGGACGACAACCGGCCTTACCCCACATTATCGATCATCCTTATGCAGGGAAAAACCCTCAAGCTCACAACTTCACAAGAGAATGGAAGCAGACAACAGATATAAGTGAATCCATATTTCAGGGATACATGTGAATGGCACGAACATAGGTGAATCCATATTTCAAATCCTGATCTGGGTCTCGAATATGGAGACGGAATCTTATAAATGGTATCAGAAATGCAAGGCGTAAAATAAAAAATTTAAACTTTAAAGACGAAATAAGAAATGAAATATACGAATTAAAGAGTAAGATTAGAAAAGGAGATATGTGAGAATTATTAAAAGAGGTTATGGTATTTTCAACTTAGGATTATGAGTGACAGCAACATTTACCTACCAATATTAAATTTACTATAAAGTTCACTACCATAATGCCTATATCTTTTCATCATTATTAGAGTATTTTATTTTATTTTATTTTATGTCAAAATATTGGTTGGATGGCGTTGAAAAGAACTCCCTAAATTAGAAATTATTTTATTATATAAAAATATTTAAAATAAAAAAAAAATATATTTTTTATTTATAAAAAAATGTGTATGTGATATTCTTTCTAATTACCTTAATTTATTTTAAAAATCACTTTATAGCTAATTAATTGATATTGTTTGAAACATTTTTTTCGTCAGTCAATTTAGTTCTTAAACTTTAGTTTATGACGATTTATTTTCAATCCTTTCAAATTTTTAAGAGTTTATAATGATTGACGATACGAGATATCCATAGTGAAGGGCACTCATCTTCGTCACCTATTTCATTCCCTATCTCTGTAAAAATTTTCTTTTATTTGTGCGAGAATGGAGCGAAGATTCCCTACGAAGAACATAAATTTTTTTCGTTTATTATTCTGTAAAAAAAATCTCAACATATCAATATATTTCGTAAGCAAAAATGAGTTCAAATTTAAATTAAAAATTAAATATGAATTGAAAATATATTTATATTAAATGGATAATCTAAATTTATAAATTTATCTCAAATTGAACTGAATAGTCTAAAACAATAAATAAATAATAATAATAATAAAAAAAGAAATAAACTGTTTTTAACCCATTTTTTTAATGGGCCTTGTTTTTATTTTTAGGCCCAAACATAATTTTTTTTTTATTTCACTAAAATAATAAGTTTTAACCATAATATATATTTATTGTGGTAGATTGATAATTCTTAAATGTCATTAATTTGCTTAAATACCACTTTACCAAATATTTTATTTTATAGTATATTTGAAATACTATCAATTTCAAATCATTATATTTATATAAATATTCATATATTGATAAATATAAAATAAAGGAATTGAAAAAATATTTACAATTTTTCATATTGTTATATTCAAGAAAATGGAAAAATGAGTAGTTTAAAAATAGTTTTTATTTATTTTATAATTTAAAACGTATTTTTTTTAAAAATAAAGTAAAGATATTAAAAAAAAATTATTAAAAGTTTTAAAAATTTTAAAATATTTTTGAGATAAAAAGTTTGATAATAATTAAAAAAAAATAATTAAGAGTTTTAAGGACAATATCACATTTGAGAGTCTTGATAATATTGATACTGATCTTCTCGTCTTTATCATCTTTTGATACGAGCGTGACAGAGGTGAATTCCACAGGAGGATAATCGAATGATTCTCTCTCCGATTACAGAAATCGCCGCCAGATTTGTGGTTTCTCGATGACGGAAATCAAGGTTATTGGTGTCATCGGCGGCGGTCAAATGGGCTCCGGAATTGCCCAACTCGCCGCCGCATACGGCCATGATATTTGGCTAATCGATTCAGACCCTGCCGCTCTTACTAAAGCAACCAACTCCATTTCTTCCTCAATTCAACGCCTGGTCTCCAGAAACCTTCTCTCTCGAGTAAGAATTCTGTATATCCAGATCCGTATACATGGGAAGAATATATATGATGTTTGGCCTATTATTTACTCTGACATAGTTCTTCTGAACTGGCTGTTTTACCTTTTGAGTTACCTTTTATTTGGAGTTTTGTGCTGTCTATTTCATAAGAAAAGCTCTTAACAGACCAATTGCAGGGAATCACAGGGTGTAGGACATGTTATGAACTGACTTTGAAATGTTTGAAATAGTTTTTGTCATGTAAAAAATCAATTCGAAACCTCGGTTTAATGATTCAAAACTAGTTTAATGTTTGATCTTAGACTTTTAAACACGATTTTGATACGATTAAAACTGATTTTTGAATCATAAGAATATAATTTCGAGTGATTTTGAAAGCTCTCAAACATGCACTTGATTTGGGTGAAAAACGCAGGATTTAGTACTATTTGGTTGCTTACTTATGATCAATCTGTAGCATTAGGAGGTTGAGACTCTCTTGGCCCCATCAGTACCCTTTCTAATCAGGATAACACCGATCCACTGCTTTAGGAAAAAGAAAAACAAGGGAATCCTTGCCAGATCCCATGTCTC